GCAGATTTTGTCTCCAAATTTGATTGCTCATGATCGTTAGTTTCTGAGATATGACGTTTTTCTGATTTTAGCTAAATTTTTCAAAAACTTTGTAATTTTTGAGTTTTTCAACCCTAAAGTGGGTTTCCCCAATTCAATTTCAGAATTTGCAGATCTTGTCTTGATTTTTGACTTCTCAAATTGTCTTAGTTTCCGAGGTTTGCTTTTATTATGGTTTTTCATAAATTCTAAAAGAATTTCATTATGTTTGCAATTCTCATTATTATGGTGAAGTGCCGTCAAGGTACTCTCAAGAGGTTTTTATATGGACTAAAAAAATATTACCACTCAGCGCCCTTAACTTTCATAGTTATCACGTTCTAATGATTTTTCAAAATTTTTCAAAGAAATTATATTTCAAAAAATTATAATTTTCAAAAATTGAATTTTTCGATCTTTCAAATTTTTAAAGTTTAAAATTAAGAAGATGAGCCTAATACTTTGATACTAATTACTCTGGATTAACAGATTGATGGCAGTAAACGATATAAGTTGGCTAATGAAAACATAAACTAAGATAAACAAGAGATTCATTTACAACTTCGATGGTTTCGCAAATCAAGTCGTTTCAAATAAGTTTTTGTAAAGATAGACAGTGCAGTTGTATGATGTTTGCTATATAAATGTTTTGTTCTTGAGTTAAAAAAATGAAGACCAGAAATCCTGTTGTTTAGGAGATTTGACCATTTTAGTTAAAAAAAAAGAACTTCTAAGTTGAATTTTTTCATCGTTGAATTTTTGAAATCAGAAGCGTTGTTGGATGCCCCGCTCTACTATTATGGTTGCATTCCTTTTCTCTTGTTTTTTTTGATATCTGTTATATAAGCAGTTTTCCTAATTATAACTCTGTTTGAAGCACCCGATGTGCGTTACATGCTAGTTTTTTTGAAATGCATAATCTATACATAATTGTGTCACTTTGTATTTGGTGCCACTTTTGCTGCATTGAGCTGGCAATTTTTTTAGCATATGTAGCTGCTTCATTTTTACTAAGGGTAAATATTTTGCAAATTTTTAATTTTATTTCGACTCTTTCTCTGACAGTGACTGAAAGAGCTCTGTGTAAACTCGCGTTTTTTTGTATTATTGCAAAAAATTGGTCCTACTAATTGATACGAAATTTACAATGAGACTAAATGACACAAAATTTACCAGTGTCACGATGAGAGGCTGGCCTCGAAGTTACGATCTGAGATAATATAAGTTATTTTGCCCGATATCTCTCCTTCTTGCAGTTCTTCTTCTAATTCAGGTACTAATTCATGGAATTTAGTTGTTAGATTTTCCAGCGAAATAAAATTAATCCGGCTTTAAATTAACTTATTAATCCGGCTTTCTCAAATTAAGTTAATTTTAATCTTAGTAAAAAAGTGTGAATCATAAATTGTACTACAAATTCAAAGAGCAATAAGGCTATCTTTCAATTTCTCCGAGAATTTTTCAAAAACTAAGTCAGTGTTTTTTTTTCTGTTTGCTGCGTTCAAACTGTCTTTCCCAACTGTCTGTTGGCAATGTTTGGAATTTTACTTCAAACACTTTTATTGGGATATTTTTTTGAAACGTGCACAGCAACAGGTCATCCTTATTTGTCTGTTAAAAGTTCTTTGTGAATTATTATCGAATAAACTGTTTCTACTTAAGATGTTTTGATGGAAACAGGGTCAAATGGATGTGTGTTTGTAGAACATGAACTTTCATCTAATAGAAACTACTGACTGCGCTTATGATTAGGAAGTATTGTCAAATCGGGATAAAGACTGTTTTTTTATTCATGTTATCAACTTGCATAACAAATTAGTTGAATCTGTTGATAGATAGCTTGGTTTATAGTAGGTTCAAGTTTCGAAAGTTTTCGGGAACTTTTGATCTGGAGGTAACGGCTGCTCCTGGGATAGTGCAAATTCTGCGTTCGAATCTGTCCCGGACTTTTTTAAAGATAAGTATCCCGTTTCAAACAAATTTACTGGCCTATTAGTTTTGCATCACAGATTTTTTTGTGCTCTAAGCGATTTTAATTGCAATTGAAACTTTTTTGAAAGAATTACTCTCATTAGTAAGATTCATAAATCTGATGTTTGCCTTAATGAGCTGACTTGAAAGTCATTTCATGGGAAAGTTTTTATCCTTTTGTGTGTTTCTGGAGGGGTGCGAAGTGTAAAGCTAAGAACTTCAGAATTTTCAAAAGCTATGAATGACAACAATTTTGTTTTTGCGTCAACGGGAGTTTACCGAACTTAAGTCGTCTTAGACGCCGCTCGTTATATAGTGTTTTTGATTACTTTTTTAATGCCAGCGATTTTGTTTAAGGACGTGTTTTCTGCAAACTGAACATCTTTGGAGACAAAGTTTTGTAATTCTTTAGTGATCGATTTTTCGAAATTTTTTTTGAACTTGTGGCGTTCCTTTTTTTGTCTGCTTGCTTGCAGTGCTATGTTTGTGTGCTCCGCTTGGCCTCTGTGTGTAAAAAGTTTGCGAGTAGTTTTTGTTAGCCAAGTTAGTGATTTGCCAAGATAGTGATTATCTTTGTTGGGCCTTGTTCGATTTCTTGGTTACGTATGGTGTGTAGGAGTTGCATCTTGCGTGTGAATATATAGGTATCACAAATTTTATCTAAACTAAAAATATTCAACGGGAAAAATGACTTTTATTTAGTTGCTTTCTTTCGCCGAAACAGTTGTATAAGCATTTTATGCCGAAAACAAAAATTTGATTTTGTTGAAGTTCAAACTCATTTGATACTGCATGTCAGATTTTGCTATTTTATTTCAGTTATTTTTTGTTAGAATTTTAAAAGTTTAAGCTTATTTTTCCGACTATAGAAAATGGGGAGGAACTTTTTGTGAGCAGGTGTGTTTTACATTTTTTTTGTTTTCCACGCAAAATCAGTTACCACAAAAAGTCATCGGATTAGGTTGGGTGATATATCATATTAAAGCCCTTTCAGTCGTGATTCGAACGACATTAACAAATTTCTAACAAAAAAGTTCCCATCGAGAAAAAACGGTTCGAAATTTTTAATTTTTTGTATATTTTCGAGCTATTAAAGCAATCGAGTAACGTTCGTTATGTATAAAAATTATCAATTAAGGTTAAAAATTGATACTTTTACTAAAAGGAAATATATTTTGGGATGCTTTATAGAGAGCTTCTCCGGCAAAAAAAAATCTTTCGAAAGTATTTGAAACTTTTAATGCAAAAAAATGAAGAAAAAATAGAAAATTTTTCGAGTTTTCATCTTTTCTGTTCACTCATATTTTTGAAGATAATTGTAGTCGTTTATGCCTAGTTAACTAAATTTCTACGCGTTTTGTATAGCTCATCATCACACGAAGTACATGAAAAAACAGACACTAACTTGAAAAAAAAATTGAGAATGTGGTCGGAACATTCTGTGCTACGTGCACAGCAACCGGCTATCCTTGTTTTCTATGGTTTCCGTTTTTGAATTCTGACTAGAAGACCTTGGTTGAAACATTCAATTATAGATAATAGAAAATGTACTCTATTGTTTTGGTTTTGTTAAATTCTAAACCGGTCGCATAGCTCGCTGATTGAAAGGAGTATACTTACCCGCAGGACTAAGGCGAGTGGTTCAATAACCATGGCAGAAAATATTGAAATATAAAAGATCATCGAACGCAGTTTCATTTTGCTGACCCAATATTTAATGACCAAGTTTGACTATCAGATGCTATTTTATTTATCCTAACTTAGCTACTGACTTCTGAATGTGAATTAGCTTCTTCGTTGGAAAAGATAAGTTGAGATTAAAAAAAAATCTTGGGATATTTTTTATAACTAAAGGTATTTACTATGTCCTGATTTTATGCATTTTTTGCACACTGTTATTGGTATGCAAACTTTTGCAAGTCTGGTTCGACTTGGTCCATTAAATGCGCTTTGTAGCTCACAATCAAATAGCTCAACATTGAGTGTAATCAAAAATTAGAGAGTGTATGAAGTTTTCTGTGTTAGAAATGGAAATAACTAGCCATATTGTGAATTATTCTAATTTTTCACCAAAAAGTGGAAGGGGGTACTTTAGCTCTGCATTCATGTATTTTCAACCCTTTTTTGATGAATATTTTTCACTTTATTTTTTAAGGTAACATTAAAGGCTAAGTTGAAGTCATTGAATATTGAAAGCATTGATTTTAACATACTAAGTCAGTTTCATAATAATTGGAAATGAAATGCGTAATTTAATATAGCTCGAAAAGCTTAAGGCTGCAACAAACAGCCACGAAAACAAGCGAGAAAAAGTTATATTTTAATGATGAATTCAAAAACTGAGGAATGACGGGAGGTAGACTGTGAAAGATGCAATGATTTGATTTCCACATTCAGTATTCGAAATAATCAAGTTGTCCAAGTTCAAGTTATTAAATGATTAATTTAACTGGTAGAAGTTAATAACTGCTTGTTCTTTGAAATTAAGTAAAGACCCAGAGAAACATCTAAAGCCAAGAAAAGTTGGTCATTCTCAGAAAAAAAAGATTTGGCCATTCTTTTTTTGAATGTTTTTATGTAAATGTGTACTATTTGGATGCTCGTAAATTTGCGAATGAGGGGGAATGGGTGCAGTGCCTTAAATTAATATTTCCTAAGGGATTAACCAAAATTCTTCGAGTTGCTATTCTCAAAATTTTACGAGGGGTGGACTCTATTTTCAAAGATTATCATTGCTAAAATGCCGCCAACAAAAGTGGCTCAATTTCATCCACTTGGCTTTAAATTAGCTTAAACACCGAGGAAAAAATTGTGGAGTTTTTCGATTCCGATAAGACCATGAGGTACGGAGAAGGCTCCAATTAGTATATCAGTCAACTTTTTGCGACGTTTCATTGGTTTTCCATGAACTCGTTTCTTGATTTACGTGCGACGTGTCTTTGATGTTGGGTGAAAAAAATGAATCGAAAGCTCCTGCTCAACTTGGGGGCTTTGGTGGTTGGAAGAATTACCTTGTTAGTTGCAGGGAAGAATCTGTAAGGTGTTGAAGATCCAATCATCACACAGAAAAATAAAGCATAAATAGAATTCGACTTCATATTGAAAAATGGACTGTTCAGTAGATTGAAAATGCTGTCAACTGAGTTGGAGTGTTGTGATATCAAATCAGATCTTAGTTACTGCCTGAAATACTAAAAATATATTGACAACGTTATTTTGCTGTACAATCAATGAAGTCAAGACTGAGTGAGATAATTTAATAAACTTAAAAAACTTGAAAGAAATCTTATTTAAAAGACCTTCTTGCTTTTTTACTGTTGATTATTTTCAACTACCCGATTTTTACTGCTTTGGAAAACAAAAATAAAGCTTTTTAGTCAAATGTACAGGATAAAGTTAGGTATCAAACTGTTTGTAAATGACAGCGGCTTCTTTGGGCTATTGTCTGCAAGTAGCAGTTCATGAACTTTTTTGATTGTTACCAAAATTTAATGTAAAAGGTACACTGAAAAATAACTTGCTTTGTTGTTTGAGCGTAAGGGCTGCCATTTATGGATTAAGAAATTGGGAGGAAATTTTTTTTTGTTTATTCAAACTTCAGCTGATGAATTGTTGGCCCCTCAATTAGAGGTTTCCCCCTTCTTGAACTAATGCATTATGAAAGAGATGTTTTGTGTGACGTCATTAATTATGGATTTAGGCTTAGTCTTAAGTTAAATGGCCTCTTTTTATCCATTATGATAATAAGCTAACAATTGGATCACACGAAAGCTTTAACGGAGAAAGTTGTTTGATCGAGCGGCTAAGCTTTCTGGACCTGATGCTCATAATTCTAATTGATTCAAAAATGATTTTGGATAATGATCGTACCCCTTCCTAAAAGGAACGAAACACTCATGTTGCTGTTTCAATAATCTGAAAATGTTCTGACAATAATACTCGTTGGCAACTTTGATTTTTTCCCGATCATTGCTCCAAAATCGATTGTGATATAAGATCGTTTCTTTAACTTACGTCACAACTTTCTGTGGTCTATTTTTCTATTCAGTCTGTGTTGTGCTTTTAGTTTCTGATTCCCAAATAGCATGAACCAAATATCAGGTATTTACTAGTAAGTCATGTGTGAATGTATCACAATCGAAGGAGTAGTGGTTTAGTACATAAGTGTGACTCTTGGCAGGTCCATGGTTCAAACTTGTCCGCCCGTGAGTTTTCATTTCGAGCAGTTCATTTTCATATTTTCCTAAAATTCAAGAGCTCATTTTGCCTTTGTTTGTTGCTCCTGTTTGCGAAATGAGATTTAGTAACTGTTTCTCGAAGTTTAGTTCAACCCCCATTAAATTTTTGTCCGGTCATGGCTGTTTTTTACTAGGGCTAGGTCTTTTACCAAACCGACTTCTTACCAGACCGACCTTTTACCAGACCGAAGGTTTAACCAATCAGAACGCTTCATTTTATTCGAATAAAGGAGAACACAAAACACAATAAATATATTATTTTGGATATATTACAAGAAAGCAAAGAGTTTTAAGTCCTGAATAACCGTAAGTTTTAAAGAGTTCGACTACAAATTAGCGCTATTTCATCCCAATAATCGTACTCGGATATAATTCCCGAGATACAAAAATTTCTCGGATATTTCTTTTTTTTTAACTAGGGGCCAATCTGCTCGGTTGGCACGTCTTAATTGAAAACGCGAACTCATCATTATCTTTTTAAGTAGTTTCAAATTTGTCGTTTTTTCTAGTTTTCTTAACATCATAAGTTTGCACTTAAAGGCGTCCTAATATTCTCCACTCGTATTCTCATTCTCCAATTTTCCATTTTTTAATTTACTGATCGGGGTATCAGACTCAACAACCAAGTTAACAAAATTGCAGTTGCTTCAGTTTTACGCTTTTGAAATTTGATCTGCAATTGAAATTTGAGTGTATACTTGGCCTATAACCAAAAAAAGTTCTTTGTGGTGGTCGTACCCTTTTATTTTCTTTTTCGTTTTTGAGTTTATCTCTAGATTAAAATATGCTAAGCTCGTCAAACAGTATTTGTTATCTTATCTGTTATATGAACCACAAAAAATGGATGCCATGTTTAAGCTTTGATAAGGCGCAATGTTTGAAACTAATCATCGAACTCAGGCTAATCTTATATATTAAATGAAACTTAATAAGCTATGGACGCAATGTTTGACCTTCTCTAACGAGCACAATGTTTAAGAAAGCTTTGATCAGAACGTTTAAGACTCATTCATGGCAACAATAGAGCTTAATGCTTAAGAGGCGTTTCTGTAAGAACTTTCAATCATTCAACATTCTGGATTATTGTAGAATTCTTTCTGAAAAAGTCCAGAACTGTTAAACTAAATTAACTCGACTCAGCTTCAAGTAAAAACAGCAGATCAACTAAAAACAGCAACTCCATGCTTAGAAAAACTAACTTTTGGCCACTTGATTCGGGCTGTGAAATAACTTGAAGCTTTAGAGCTTAAGTAGCTCGCTTTGCAAAACTTAGACTTTTCGCGAACAGATTCAGCCTATAAAATAATTTGAGATAATTAAAAGGTTGAAAAGCGTGCTCAAAAAAACTTGATTTTTTCGCGTGCCGAATTGGTCTGTTAATGAATCGCGTACCGTTTGTTTATGAAATAATTTGATTTTTTTTTCAATTTTTTTTTTAGCTTGAATAGCTTGCTTAAAAAAATTGAAGTTAAAATTTTCGCAAAGTGATTCGGTCTAATAACCAACCTAAATTATTTCAAAGGTTCATTGTGTGAATGTTTTCAATAGAAATACTTGAACTTTTCGCTATCCGATTCGTTTCATGAAAAAAACTTGAAATGCTTTAAAATTTGATAACTTGAATAGCTTACCTACAATAATTTTTTTTTTTCGCCAATTGATTCGCCCTATGAAGCAACTTGAAGTTTCTCAAAGTTTATATGCTTGAATTGCTTGCGTATAAAATTTTAAATTGTTGCAAAAAGAAACGGCTTGAAGTATTTCAAAGTTTTATAGCTTGCTTTGAAAAACTTTAATTTTTCGCGAAATGGTTTAGTCTGAAGTAATTTGAATTATTTGAAAACTTCATAACTTGACCAAGTTGCTTAAAAATTTTGATTTTTCGCTGATCGATCAGCTCTATGAAGTATTTTTAAATGTTTCTTTTTTTCATTGCTTGATTGGCTACAATGGAAAAAGCATCCTTTTAAAGATGCATAGCTGGAATAGCTTGCTTAGAAACGTTGAATTTTTTGCGAACCTATTTGTTCTTTCAATTTAAAGTGTTTTAAACCGATTTAATAAATATATATTTTTTTAATAAATGACTTGAAATTGTTTGAAGTTTCATTGCTTGAATAGCTTGATCAGAACAACTAATTTTGCGTGCTGATTTGATTGATTACTGGACTGGAGATGCGCATGCTAGTCTGACATTATTTTAATGAATCTGGAATCTTCTAGAAACTTGTTTTTAAAGGCCAACGCTTCAGACAATATCAACTTGATTCAACTTCAAGGTGGCCAGTCAAATACTGCCGTTTTTTGTCAACGTTTAAATTTCTCAAACAAGCCAAGATAATATTCTATTTTTGTCATGAAAGAAACAAAACACAGCTTGAGAGCTCTGCATTTTTTGAAGCGAGTTGCACGAATTAGATTGTTACCTTTTCGACCCAACTTTTTTTGAACCGATTCACCCTGAAAAAAATTGGAAAATTTAATATTTTGCTGTTGCTCAGTAACGTTCTTGAGAAAACTTACTTCTGCGATTTTTTCAAGCGATGCAAACAATTTTGAAATAATTTTAAGTTTTTTTGCTGAATAGCTTGCCACTTAAAGTTTTTGATTCAAACTATAAACAAAATTCAAATATTTCGAAGTTCTTCGCTTGATGAACTTACTTAAAAAATTAGTATTCTACGAAACATTTAAATCTATGAAACTTAACTGAAGTTTCATGGCTTGATATTCTTGCTTGCATCTTTTTAGATTTTTACGAAGGAATTCAAGCTGTGATAGCAGGCTGAAATGTTTTAAAAATTCATTGCTTGATCAACTTGTTTAAAATTGTTAAGTGTTTGCGAACCGTTCAAGTTATGTTCTTGAGTACGAATTTTTGTATATTTACCATTAACAAAAGAAATACCTTTTTCTTCTATAAATGTTGTTTGAACAAACAAACTCAATATCTTAATGCACAAGATGAATTGGCGGACTGGCTACAGTTATTGTCTTCTTATCGCACCACTGATTTATCAAGTGCTTACTACATTACGAAAAAAGATAGTTCTGAATGTTGCAATTTTTTATATATCGTCAAACTCATATTAGATCCATATAGATCACAGTCATGGGAATTATATGATTTGTACTGTTGTGACATAATTTTTTGGTATTTAGGCATAGAAAACGATGTTTTCGAATATAAGTTTTTCCGCAAGATGAAATAGCAAGGTGACACTGCTATTTTTGTGATGAAACTGCTATTTTCTTGATTAAATAGCAGTAATTTGAAACTGCTATTTTCTTGCTGCAACTGCTATTTTCAGTTTTTTGATGAAACTCAAATAATAACAGTTTCTTGATAAATCTCCTTTTTTGATCGAAATAGCAGTAATTTGAACGATTTGCGTCTGGATACATCGAGTGGGCTTAAATTGTTTCTCAAAAAAGTCAAATCGTTTTTTTTATTAATTATTGTTTTTTTTTCAGATGAGAATAGATGAGATTGTAACTTTGTGATCTTGGTTGTGTTTTTTTTTGAATGGCTGACGGGGCTAGCAGTTCAGATGTGCAATTATCCGAATCTCAGCGAAGACGAATTGAGGTCAACAGGAAGCGTGCTCGGGAACTGCTCAAAGTTCGGGTTGTGAAACAAACGCAGCAGAATGTAGAAGTAATTGGCTGTAAAGGTGGAAGCAATTGCCTATTCATAAATCACTACACTATTAATAGGACGGTTTCAACTTAACTAAACTAACTGGTTAATTGACAGAAAAAGGTGACAACTCTTGTATTTTTTTTGCACCGTGGAAAAGACTCTTGTATTTTTTTTTGCACCGTGAAAAAGACCATACTCTTTTAAAAGTAATAAATTGAATAGAATTGAGAATGGGCGAATCTTATTTGAAAAGTGTTACAAAGTATTTTTCATCCATTTAAAACCCTTGGTTCTTGCTTTTGAAAAATCGGTTTTTCAGGAAATTATCAATTTTAGGAAAATAGATCCCAAAATCATAGTGCAAGGTGTTTAGTGTCACTCATTAATGACAATTTTTAAGAGCAGAGAACGAGGCTTTATTGCTCGGGGTGTTATGTGCCGCTATTTATTTTTAAATCTGCCTTTTTTGACGTTTTTGCTGCAGTCTAAAATATATTGATGCCCTGAGCTCATAATTGAAAAGTATGTTTCATCTGAATTTTTCATGAAATTCAAGAGACTTGAGTATAATGGGATTTGTACTAATTTGGCCAATTTGGGATAATGAAAGCGCGATTTTCACTAGTTTTCTATTTCTATGCGCATAGGAAGGGGGAAAATAAGTGAGCTAGGAATCATCTCAAATTGAGTTGATGCAAGTTAATATTTCGCGTTGTTAAATGAGAATTATATCACTCTGTGGGCAAGGCTGGTCAAAAATTGCTTGTAATTGCAATTAATAGAAATTTTTCAGTGCAATTAATTGATTTCCATTCCTGACCAATTACAATTAATTGATTGCGCTCTACCAATTAATTGCAATTATTTTTATCAAACGCATTTCTTAGAAACAACCGCACACTTCTCTGAAAATAATTTTTTTCTTCTTCATCAAACAGCAATTTTGTTTCAAAAATGTTCAGTACTGCAAAATATATATATTCTGATCTTCGGCAAATTTCTGATACGATTGTCTGATCTTCGGCAAATTTCTGTAAAGGCAGTTATTTCGGGAACCCAACAATAAAAACTGGTAGTGTGAACTGGGAAAATGTATAGGGAAATATATACTGGGAAAATGTCTAGCTTATCAGATTCGACTTTAGCAAAAACTATCGGAGGCGAATTAAAACCTAATTGAAACATTCAAGGTTTTGCTCTGATTTAAGAGCGGTCTATTTTATATTACGGGCATATGCTTATGAAATTTGGAAAAAAAATTGACATTATTTTCCACTGTTTTTTTTTTACTAGTTCACAATAAAAAATAAAGTTGGTGGGGATTTTAGCAGTCAGAATCAGAACAATTATAAAGTCAGATAGCTAACTTCTAACGCAGCATTGGCGATTAGCGACCGCTTGTTCCGCTGCGCTTCAATTCAACACGAGTGTTATTGTGCGCGTAAATCTTTGTTTTGCCGCTAACTTAGATTTGTTTTTTTTTGAAGTTGATAGTTTTGTTGACAAGTCGTGAGATAATTGTGTTAATTGGGGAAGCTTGGCCCCAAACTGAGCGTCTTTTTCAGTCTCAATCAATCATCCATCACTTAATTACGTTGGTCTGCTGAAAGACTCATTTTTCATTTTTTATACTAAAAGATTGGTCTGCTAAAAGATCGGTGTTTAGCCGATCGTTTAGCAGACCAATTGTGTAGAATAAAAACTGAAAATTTGGCCTTTTCATCTGACCAGCATAAAACAACTGACGCATAATTGAGTGAGAGGTCCAAACAGGTGCATAATTACAGGTTCAGTTTCCCTTATTAAACAATTATATCACGGTTTGTCAGCAAAACAAATTTATTTAGCGACAAACACTGATTCATGCAAAACCCTCATCGACGTTTGCTAAAGTTTTAGTTGATTACATTCTAAAGCCCAGATAATAAAATTGATGCATTCACAATGACATTATGAATTTGTCGATACACTTTTTTTCGATTATATATTTTCTAAGTAAAGTGAGTGCTCGAAAGCAGATGACAGAGAAAAAGAACAATGTTTTAATAAACAATGATTTGACTAGTGTGCTGAAAATAAATTAACTAATTTTTTTTCAGCACACTAGTGTGAAACAAGTCGAAACGCCAAATGTTCCTCATACCATAAACTTGTGTAGCCAATAGTTTTTCCTTGTTGAGTGATCATTTTTTATGCTGGTACTCATAAAATGCTTGGAATGTATGTTCAGGGCTGTCCCTCAACTACTCACTTGAACGTATTTTTTTTGTGTTCTCAGGCGTTTTCAAAAATTAGAAATATAAGCCGAAATTAAGCAGTGACATAATCTTCGATTTCCTTGTTTAAATCGAAAACTTGAATAACAATTTATGAATGTTCCTCAGTTCTTATGCAAAAAGCAAAAAACATGAAATTTTGATCTACGGTTGTGCATGATTCAATTGGTCACCAAAAACCCAAAAACAGCCGACAGTGGATAATCATTGAGCAGTTTTTCAAAAATTCTAAAAAACTTAATTATTTAAAATTCAAATATTTTTGTTAATTTCCTAGAGGCGAACCAAAAAATCTTGCATATTCATCTGCTATCAGCATGTCAACCTCCTATCACAGGGCCACCAAAAATAATTGTCTTTCACTTTTTCTGATTGTAAAAAAATCATACCTATCGAGGTTAGGCGTTTGTGGGTCATATGGCCCCATTAACTGTCCTTTCCGGGTCTCATTTTTTGTCGCTAACGATGTTTTGCTCATTATATGTTAGTAATTGACCGGAGAAATTAATTCTTTCTTTCTGTCTTTCAAATGTAAATGTGATGCTATCACTGAAAATCACATGTTAGCACTGCTCAGGAACTGTTAGACGTCGAAGTTCCCAATGAAGTATTTAGTATCTTCGATTTATTTAATTCTTCTTTACTATGCGAGACCCAATGAAAAGGGTCTATGCTCCTCTCACTTAATCAATACAAGGTCACTAAAGACACTTTTCAAAAAAATATATATTAGGCGAAGGAATTAGATCTTCTAGCAGATTTAGAAAAGTTTTATATTTACAAACTTAACTGACGTGTCAACGCTGTTGAAATTTTTAATTTCAGCGATAATAAAGAATTTAAGGACATTTTTAAATAAAGTTTCGAATGTTTGTTCGCCTAAGTTACTCACATCAAGGGCGTTGACTAACAGACCCTATCAGCTCATACTGATTCCTAGTCGAATACGATAATTTACACATGTTCATTACGTATAATTTTCTACGCTTTTAGTTTTTCTACGAGTTCAGACTGTTTTTACAACTTTTTAAACTTTTTACAAAATCAGATTTTTTTCCGGCTCAACTGCTGTCTGCTCAAAGATTGTCAGCCTTTTTTACGCTTCCTAAGTTGTGTTCAGTTGCTAATTTGAATTGCAAATGTCTTGCTTTGTATTTTGCCTCGAATTCTTGTGTGATAAAACTGGTATTATGCAAGTTTATGGGATTGGGTTTTTTGAGACCCTTTGGAAAGTTTTACCACTTTTTGCAAAAATTTTAGTTGTTCCTCCAAATTTCTTCTACCATTTTTTAAAAAAAAGATTTATCTATAGAAAGACGGCCTATATTCATGTGTGCCTGCATACTCCCCTGGTCTGTTTTTGCTTTACCCCTTTGTCTGCAGCCTTCGAAAAATTCTGTGGGGTGAATCTTTGACCAATTTTTTTTTCCTCAAAAACTAATTTACTAAATCTGGGATTTTAGTTTCAAAAAGTAAAACGGATTTGAGAAGCTCTCCTATATAAGCGGCTGTGCCCAAACTTATTTTTACACAAAAGGTATGGTCTTCAGAATAGTCAAGTTTTTTGATTTTTTTGACGGTTTCTCGAGTTTTTTAACATTTCTCAAGACTAACATCCCAAACTTGAGATTGTGGGTTTAATAGAGATAACAGGTAGTGGGAATTTCCCCTTTCTTTAGCGGCCACTCAAAAACTTTATCGTCCTCGGAAAAGTCAAATTTTTGATTTTTTGAGAGTTTTTCTAAACTTAATGATTTTACCGAACAGTGCCCTCCCATATCTGAATTTTTAGGTTTTATCTAAAGAACGGGTTGTTTGAATTTCCTTTGCATACGAGGCTACGCGCAAATATTTTCAACGCAAAAATTTATGGCCTCGGAAAAGTCAAAATTTTGATTTTTCGACCTTTTTTCGGATCTTTTTGACTTTTCTCGAGAACCCTTCAACTAAACGTGGGTTTTTGGGTTCAAGCGAAATTATAGGTTGGATTAATCTCTTCTGCATAAGCGGTTACGCCCATTTTTCTTGAAACAAAAGGCTATGATTCTCGAAACTTTCTATTTGTTGACCGTTTTTTGGACTTTTCTCGATAGCTATCCTACCAAATCTGATATCATAGGTTTAATCGACACAACAGGTTGTTGGAAGCCGACCTGTATAATTTGCTACGCCCAGTTTCTCTAGAAAAAAGTTATGACCTTCAAACAAGTGAACGTTTTGAAACATTGACTTTTTGGGATTTTTTTGATGCCACTCGAAAATTACCGTGCCAATTATCAGTTTACGTGTTCAATCGAGAAACTAGATTTTGGGAATCTTCTCTACTTTACTGGCCACGACCTGCTTTTAGCAGCAAAAAGTTATGAATTTTGTAAAGTCAAGTTTTTGAACTTTGACCGTTTTGTAGAAATTTTTTGTATTATCTTAAAAACTACCCTGTCAAATCTGAGATGAAAATTTCAATCTAAAGAAATGGTTGCGCGAATTTTTCCTGTAGAAGCGTCTACACCTGATTTTTTAAGGTTATGTCTTTGGGAAAATTCTAAGATATCAGAAATTATTACTCTCCTTTATTTTATTAGAGAAACAATTAAGGTTTTGTGCAAAGTCCAATTTTTGAGTTTACGCATTTCGTCCCGCATCAGTATAACAAATTCGAAAAATATCAATATCAAACACATACCTCCAGCTTTAGCTGGGCTCTAGATGTCCTTCATCGAGATATACGAAAATTTTGCTTCACCTAGTTTGTTTCGACAATTTTTTTGACATGATTTTTTATGATTGTGTTGTATCACAAGTGGTGCGAAGCTCTGCTTCGCATCTGTGTAATAATAATATAAATTGAGATGTACATAATAGTTTTCCCGACCCCAAATTGGTAAATTAAATTCTTAAATCTATTTGATTTGAAAAATCGAAGCCTTGCTAGTGAATCGAGCTCAATTAATTGTCTTGTTCTGAACTGCTAAGATACAATACATTTTGTTGTGTCATTGAGGATTTTTAGGTTTTTCCGTCAGAAGGTTCAAAGTTTTGTTGAAAAATTGAAATTTAGTGAAAATTAAAACGGCAATATTAAAAACATTAGTAACTCAACTCTCGCTAAAACGAATAAATCCATCGGTGGTTTTACAAGCGTAGTTTGGGCTCCTCAAGCAGTCGCTTCATGGAGTAACCAGTGATTCTACATCCTTGTGGATGTGGACAGGTTTGCAATTTTTCGTTAAATAATCATCTTTTCCAGAGATCCCTTTTGGTTATAGAAATTGTATTTGTTTTGATGATTTTAAGTTAAACCAGAAGCAAATGAATGAAACCAGAACAATAAACGAAAACCAAAATTACAATTTTACCCATCCTTTGCCAAATTAAATTGAATTGGCTAATGCGGTTCATCAGTCTAAAAAAGAAGTTTTATTGATGGGTCAAATTAATTGTTTCAATTAATTAACCGCTTCCATCTTTGTCGTGTGGGCGGGGCTCCAGTTGAAGCCAAAAAATCTAAGCAGTCCACAATTCTGTCTATGCGAGATAGTGGCGGTGGTTTCTTCATAGAGGAGCGAGAGCAACTTGCTGAAAATGGCGAGGGTATGAGTGTATTGATTCTGCGATTTTTTTTTCCCGATTTCCATCCAAATTTTTTCATTGAGAAGACCTTTTCAAGTAAAGAACTTACTATGTTGAAAAAAAAATTGGATATTTTTTATGCTCTGTTTATTGGCAATAGTTGAAGTTTAAAAGTTCGAGTCAGTTTGTGCTTTAAAAATTGAACAAAAAAACGGGTTGCATACTAGAATACTGGATCTTGCAGCATTCAATGTACTGGATGTTTTTCTATTTCTAGCTGAAGCTCCAGAAATCCCTAATTACACTCCCTATGAAACGCATATGACCTTGGGATCCAAGGAAACTCCGTGCGTGCAATGTCGGAAAGGGTTCCATATATCACACCTTTTGGACAAATTCTCTCATCCTATTTGTGACACTTGCTATGAGGAGGACAAAGACAAGTTCCCTCTCATAACTAAGACGGCGGCTAAGTCCAAGTATGTCCTGAGAGACGGTGACTTCGAGAGAGATGGTACTGCTCTCAAGTTCATAGTGAGGACCAACCCCCACAACCCTAGATGGGGTCAGATGAAGCTGTTTTTGGAGTCGCAGGTAGGGCAAATTTAAGCTCATAAGATACCTATCTAAGTTTTCCGGTCCTTTTTTTACGGGTGTTAATGGTGGTTTTATACTACGAGTTTTTTCCAGCTTAAGTGGCACGCTTTCATGTTTAGTTGCAGAATATGTGTGCATATAAACAGCGATTATTTAATTCGTTTCGATGATTTAATAAGACGTTTTGAGTTGTTTAAAAAATACTTTCCGGAAGATATCAGTACCCTGAGTTGAAAATCAATTACTCATTTCACATTCGATTATTTTTTGAAGTAATATGTAACTGATAATCGCCAGTTTGGGATGATTTAAGTGCGATACATTTCGTTTTTTTTTTACGGTGTACGTGGCAAATGAATTCGGCTCAGAAATAGTTCCTTTTTCGATCGAGCAAGCTATTTATTCAGTGTCATCTAATCTGACTTCAATTATTTCAATACCATAATTTCATGCCATTTAGATCTGCAACAGTTTCAATGTATGAAAATTCCACTACTTCTTAAGTGTCAATGAACATATAGGTCGTGATGATTTCTTTGTTTTTTTTCATGATTAAGTCTGAAAATTTGTATACGCTCAAATTTGATTTTTCGTAAATTGACTATTAATTTCTTCTGATTTCATGTTCAGTTTTCCTTATTTGAAAGGTGAGAAAACCATTTTTGAACATCATACATGTAAATGTCAACGTGATCGACTTCTAGTTTTAATAGTAGATTTTAATATTTAGATTTCCCGGCGAATGATTCAGTTTTGTCATAACCTAATGAATCAGTTTTGGCGTATTGGGTTAAGTTTATCAAAACCTTTCAATCCCAAATTGTTCTCAAAATTCGATGAGCTTTAAATGTTTAAATATTTTTGTTTGATATTCGAAAGGTACGTTTTTTCAAAAAACAAGTCAATATGTTTTTCTGTTTCCTTGCATTTATTGTTACTTCTGCTATATTTTGTTAACAGCACCTGGTCTTCACTTATTTTGTTTTTATTAGAGTTCACCTCAGCGGTTCTCACCTCAGGATAATCAAAGTTATTGACCACCTATAATAAGACTTGTCATTGCAGAAACTTACTTGATTCAGTTTTTCGAGTGAATTGATATTTGGAAAAAGTTGCTTTTCTAGATTTAAAAATCGCGGGACATAATGGTTGCCTAGGAGAAAAAAATTAAATCATTTAGTTCATGTTTTTGTCTCTATAGTTTTGTTTAAACTTTGTTGACAGAAACTTTTTAATATGATTATTTCTCAGCCACCTGAAAAACGTATTAAAACAATATCTCAATTCGCGTTTTAAATCTTCTGTATACTGGCTATTTAACTCTAGAATAATAATAGCGATAATGGGACGCTCTTTCAAGAATTGAATTTTGTTCCAATAATTTCAAAAAAGCTGCGGAACGGGACGGACTCGATCTGTCTGGAAGATCAACATTACCTGAAGAAAATTTTTCAAAAAACTGAGGAAATGTTTCATGCTCACTTCACTCCAATCGAGTTAATTTTTTGAAACTCATTTATGTCTTTTTTGTTCAAAACTTTTGAGCTCGTAGTGGCTGTGGTTTTTTTCTTCAAGCAACATTACGAGGCCAAACTGTGCATTGTAAGCGGATTCCGCAACAGGCCCAAATCAGTTTTGTCGCGGAATCCGCAATATTGCTACTTTTCTTTGATCTTCTGTTTTGGATTCCACAAACAAATACCTAAAACACTGTACTGTTCAACATTCCTCCAAAAATAATAGAATTTGCGGAATCCGCAACCGTATATTCGGAATCCAGAACAGTTTGTGGAATCCACACACAAATAATAAGACATGTGTATAGTTGAATTGAGCTGTTACGGAATCCTCAACTGTAAGCGGAATCCGCAAACTAAAAGTGGAATGCGCAAATTGTAAGCGGAATCCGCAAACTGTAAGTGGAATCCGCATTTTGTTTGCGGATTCCGTTTACATATATGTGTGTAGTAGCTTTTAAAACCATATCTTTTAATTACTACGTTGACCAGCTACCAGTTGGAATGCCAAATGTTTGATCTTAATTCCTGTCAAACACCCAACTTCGATCTCAAATCTTGTCGAAAATATCCAACTTCGATCTCAATTCCTGACAAACACGCAACTTCGATCTCATCTCAATTCCTGTCAAACATAACCAGCTTCAATCTCACTTCCTACAAAGGTTGACTTCGATCTCAATTCTTTTAAACTTATTCATCAGTTCATTTTGAGCCATTCAATGAAAATAAAAGTTTTAATTTAGCCATTTTGAAGTGTTTTCAAAATGCGAAACCAGAACATAGTTAAATAAGGCAACATTTTCAGGACTAGATATTCGTGTTTTTGAACTTAAAGTTTCATTCTGCTGTATTTCAAGTTTTGGTAAGTCTTATCTGAAACCAACAATTTACTCAAATTAATTAAAAATAGATCATTCACTACCTTTGAACAAAATGAATTGAGTTCACGCTCCCAAATACTGAATCTCAAATACAAAATCCCAAATACTGAGTCTCAATTACTGAATCCCAAATACTGACCTAATTTGGCGATTTGTCAGCCCAATAATGAATTAACCCACTTACCGAATTAACCCAATGAATTTATTCGGTGTTGTGTTTCGAAAACTATGATCCCAAAAACTGCCTGCAAATACTAAAGTAAGACATCCATCGATTTAGTTGACCAATGTTTTAAGATTTGTAGGTGGATTCCGCTGACAATGGTTAAGCCCTTGCTTTTAAATTCCGCAAGTGCATATGCAAGTTCAGTAATAAACAAATTTCTGAATTCCTTTACAATTTGTGGATTCCGCTTACAAATTTTGCGGATTGCACTTACATTTTCGGATTCCAATTACATTTTGCGGAATCCGCAACAAATTAAATGTGCCGACAAAATTTACGTTACAAGTATATGTACGCGGAATACACGTAAATGTTGTACGTGGAATCCACTCACTTTTTGGAACATGTTTAACTACTTGTCTCTGGAATCCAGGAACAAACAGACACAAAATTATGGGGGTTTAAAGATTGCCATTTTGGCCAATTTGGGACAATCAACGCGCGATATATTTCGCGATGTTTAATCCGTCTTAGAAATTGTTTTAAATTGGTTGAAAGAAGCTCATTGGCCATAGTTGATTTGTTATTAGGAGCGAAATCCATCACTTTGTTTCTTATATGGCGTGGGGAGATGATTTCCAAAAAAGTCTCAATTTTTAATTTTTTTTTTTCATTTTTTAATTACATTTAATTTTTTCTTGTTATTACTGCTCTGACTGCCTGCTAGACCTTAAAAGGTAGTCGGAACAATCAGGGCTTCGCCCTGATACGAGTAGTCTTCTTTTTCAGTTTTAAGTCGATAATATCGACTGTATTTGTGATGTGGTCTTTGAAGTAGATCTTTTTTTTAAAAAGTTAGATTTTAATAATGTCTTGAAAAAGATTAAAATGATTGTGTTTGAGTTATGTAGTTCAATATTTTAGATTGAACTGTCATACCTTGAAATTGAGAAAAACTCTTTTGACTTAATAATGCCTCGTAAGACCAAATCTCATACATCTCATTTTTTTGATCGGAAATAAGATTTTTGAAATTACTCGAAAACTAGATTTTCATGAACGGTACATATTTTATGTTTTCTGGTGTTTGCAAACATTTTTCTGATACATCACAAATTATTGTTTCGTTTTTCGTAACGAAAGTAACGGAATATTTGTGCTCGGGATGGTTTTTTTTTCATCCGACAAACTTCGACTTTTTTGACCAATTTTTTTTATGTCATTAAACAGCTATTGTTGTCCTGAGCTTGAATTTCAAAGGGGGTTTCATCTGTGATTATTTTTTTTCGCAATTAACGCGTAAGCGAAGATTTAATCCGTCTTAGCAATCGTCTCAATGTGTTGAAGGAAGCTTATTTGCAACAATTGATTTGCTTTTATGAGCGAAATCTATCATTTTGTACTTTATATGGTGTGTGGGGGATGATTTTTACAAAAAAAATCTCAAATCAAAAAAATAGTTTCATTTCATTAAATTTAAATTTTCATGTTATTACTGCTCCATAGCCCTTAAAAGGTAGTCGGATGATTCAGGGCTTCGCCCTGATACGAGTAGTTTTGTTTATTCTGATCTCAATCCTAACTGTATAAAGTTCTATGTGCCGAGATAAATCTAATCTTCAATATATTGTGCATGCAGCTTTAGGCAACTAATGTTACTTTTTCTTTGGCGTGGGTTTGACATTTTGGCTTGCGAATGTTAAGCTATTTTTGTTTGATGACTTATTGTTATTGTCTTACTTCAAACTTTATCGCCTTCACATTTTCAACTTTTTTCTGATGCGCCCTTATAAAATGTTTTTCGATGCTCTTAATTGTTAATTGAAAGAGAATTCGGTTAAACTTGTACTATTTGATAGAAGGAAATCAGTACAGAAATCTAATAACTTTAGTGAGCCTACCATTGAAGTTTGTTCTAATTATAAAAACTTGTTTGTACAATTTTTAGAAATCAAAATTGTTTTTTTTTCAAGCTTCTGATGGTTGGATCAGAAGATAAAATCTGAGCGCTTTCATCGCGGTTTGCTATAATTATAACAATTCATTTCATCAGTGGTTGCACGTTTCATTTCTGCTCACTGCAGTTGAGGAAGTCACTGCTAGCCCAATTTTGAATACAGGCGCTGATCTAGGATTATTTTGAGTTGGGGGATCGGCTTTGAGTAATTTCTAGAAATCTTTGTCCTTCTTTTTCAGTGCGGCCAATTTTTTTCCAAACTTAAAGAACCTGATTTGACTTTTTGCGCCGCTGGTGAGTTTTTGAAAAAAATAGGCCAAAAACAATTTTAAGGCACTTCGTGGAATGTTTTGATGAAAAAGAAATCGCTTTCTTAGAAAAATTTGGATGTTTATTTCATAAATGTTTACTAAGCGCTCATTGCTGGTTGAATGCTTAGTAATTTTATCCTAAATTATAAGTCTCACCTTGAT